ATTTCCAATCTACTGAATGTGCAGAAGATGCACCTATCTAGATGTCTAACTGGCTGTGACTCCAAATACATGATTTTGCAGCTGCAGTATAGCCTGAATTACTGTGCTTTTTTATATCTCTCTTCATTTTTACTTGAAATGGTAGTTCAGGGCATCTGGGCATATACAAACATCAACAGTAATAGTGGAAAAGGAAAAAAAAATATAAAAGGACATAATTTTAAATTGCCTTAGATACATGAAAAAGTAAATACTTGCTATGGCTTTCTTTTCTGACCTTAAAAAGAAAATTGATTTTGTCCTAAAAATGCAAAGATTGAGTATATTGGATATAAGTTTGCTTAATTGTAATGCCCTGAAGTTTCTTTTATCGATTTCCCTCTTCAAAATAGTTGGCTTCAAACATGAAATGATGGGCATATGTAGATCTGAAATCTCACATTCTACAAATACAAGGAAGGAAGAGAAAGGCTCTTGCTGAATCATGGGATCCCATTCCTCTGTGTTTTTACTAACAAATACAGACAGTTGGGCCTTGCTCTTATCATGATGTGGTTATTTTACCACTTACCAGTCTGATATTATGGCAGCAATGTCTTTTTTATAAATACTTACTGTATCTGAAGTATGCCAAGCTGCTTGCCCTGCCATAAACTAATTCAAACAGTTGTCTTGTCTTTGAAGTCATCTAGTGTTGAATAAAAATAGATATGTATGTGAAGTGTGTCACGTATTCTTGAGGGATTAGTGTCATTGTGTATTCCTGACTTTCTTCTATCCTAAATCAGACATTTTGTTCCAGGATTAGAAGCTTGCTCTGGCAAGCACATGCACACTTGCATGTTTGTGGGTACATCTGTGGTACTGTCTCTTTGTGCTGCTTTGTGATTCAACCTCCTGCTGCTGCCTCCTTTTTGTGCACTTAACATTTTTTCCTTCAGGAGGAGTTTGTTCTTTTGCTTCATTATGAGTTTGAAAACATCTTTATCCATTCAAAATGGCTATGTGTCTGTAGAAGGTGGTTTGCTTGCAACAAGTAATTTAAGTTCCTCTGTGTCCTTAGAGAAAAAAGGCAGTAAAAATATATTCGTTTCTTCATTTGTGCAGTGGATAGAGATAAGAGAGATTGGTGCTGCTATGAGAGGAGTGGCAGCCCTTCCCACCAGAATTGTTTTAGGCTGGTCTGTAGAATTAGTATCCATTTCTTCCATCTGTTCTTTTGGAGTTTGTTCAGTGATGGTTTCAACAGGGGTGTTTTTAGAGAGAGATTTCACACCTCTATACAGAAATGTTATGCATTTACATCTATTGTAATTGGGACAGAATTTTTATTTAATGTGGGGAGAAGTGAGTGGAGTCGAGTCAGAGGCAAGTTCTCCTCTTGGTTGGTCAGACATTTGCTTCAAAATGCTAGGATTTAAGGAAAGCTTTGAAATCTCCATGGCTTGCAGCTTTGCTGTCGGTGGTTTCCAGAGAGCAGTTCTACCTGGTGAGGGAATGAGGCAGAGCATGGAAAGCAGGGACAGTAGCTGAACTTAAGTACAGAGACAACTGGGATGGTACTGCTGTTATGGAGAACTGTTGTTTGTGCTTTGGATTCCATCCTTGGCAAGATTTGCCTTTTCTTAGTCTGAGAAGTAAAAATGTGACTCAAAAATTGTGATTTGAAAAGTATGGGAGACAGAGTTGATGAAAGCTGTATGGTCCTATTTTTTTTACAGACCTCCTAGAACAGCTTTCCTGATTGGAGTATGCATCTTGTAAATCCAGCAGGTAGAGAGAGGTTGCTTCATACAAACTAAATTACTATGCTGTATTTAAAATAATTAGATAATGCTTGCCTTTAAAAGCAGAAAAAAAAACATATTGGAAGGGTTTTTTTATAGGAAATGGGGCATGCATTCCCTTATGCTTTAACTGCAAATGTGCTTACAAGCAACTGCAAAAATCCTAGCAAGAGAGCATGACAGAACAGCTCAGTAGGTGCTACAAGGTGCCACAAAAACGGTGGGTTTGGAATTTAAATTAAATTCTAAAGTAAACATTCTAAGTAAACATTCTTAATTGTGGCGGTTTAAGTAAATCTGACTTCAATAGCAAATGCAGATTATTTTCAAACATAAATATCTTGCAAGGTAGGTTTTCTTAGCGTTGGGGTTTTGGGTTCAGTCCATACCCTTCAGCCCTGTAATGCCAGTCCCTTGGTTTTCAGACACTGGATTCAGTAGGCCTTCTTATTAAATGCCTTTTGTCTGTCATGGAAGAATAATGAAATACTGGCATGCTAAGGGCCACCAAATCTGTGAAACAAGAGGCTACTGTACAAGGACACTGGAAAGAAGTAGAAGAGTGTGGAAAGAATAGCATTTCACTTCAGGTGTCTGATTTGTATTCTCAAATAAGATTAATGTGGTTCTTCTTAAAAAAAAAAATCAAAACCAGAGCATTGTGGATTTTTAGATGAACTGGCTCCCAGGACAGTAGATTGGCAGAATGTCTAGTAGAAAGCACATCTTTGAAGTAGAAGGGTATTGGGTGGGTTTTTTCACCCTTTTATTTGATATCACTGTATCTACCTTCTTGTGTAGCTACTCCAGAGCTAATCAGCATCAGTTTCAGAGTTTGCGCCCTAAACTATATGATTTTCTGGAAAGACGCTTTTTTTTCCCCAGACAAATAAAAGTTGGAAGGAAACCATCTCTGAAAACTTGCAGGTCAATATTTCAATCAGAAGAACAAACAAGACAGTGCTGGCTCACTGTCTTAACTTAAATGATCAGTTTATGGTAGGTAGGTTTGGAATGGAAATGTGGATGATGACCTGGAATGGCTGCAAGATGGGGGTAGTTCCTTGGCCTGACTGGACAAGTGGTTGCAGCAGAGAGGGGCAGGGTGGCTGACAGGAGCAGGAGGCTGTTGCCACAATAGTCTGGTCAATGTGAATCAGAATTCACAAACACAGTGGAAGTAGTAACTCAGCATTAGCAAGAATATTACTATATATACTCTCTTCCGTGTGGGGGAATGTATGTTGTCCATCTCCTGCAGACCTACTCAGCCAAGCTCCTTGAAAATTATCTGTTTGAAGTTGTTTCTTGGGTCTTAAAGAACTCTTTCAAACATAAAATAATAAATACGAAAACAACTTCAGTAGTAAATATAAAATGCAAACAAAATACAGATAAATTACAGTTACCAGTATCAGACGCTGTGATTGTGAATGAAGTTTGGCTCTTATCTTCAGGTTCAGCAGTTAATAGGGATGTTTTGCAGTATTTCCTCTTGTTGAGGCTGGAGTGGGCTGTGAGCAACTTCACAGGAAATTTAAGCAAGCTAAATGTTGATTATGCATAAGGGAAATATTCATTAACAAAAGAAAGTAATAAACATCAGAAACAGTGGAACAGCTGTTTGGTACTGATACTTTTCTGGAGCTGTGGCCCACTGGAGGAGGTCTCCTGAGCAAGGACTGGACTAAAGTGGAAGGACATAAAAACAATTAGGTGCATGATGTAACAAAGACTGTACAAATTGTTCTTGTGTGTACCAGTTCCATTGTACTGAGTTGTAAGGGTCCACAGGATTCAAGGAAGGGACTAGAACTGAAAAAATGTGTCATGAGAAGAGGTTGAAGAGATCAGTGAGGTTTAGATTGAAGAAGTGTGGAAAAGGACCATGAATTGTACAAAGATAAAATAAGGGACCCTTACTTAACATTACAGATGCAAGAGGAGTATTCAGTAGAAGACAGACAGTTAATTCAAACAGAATCTTAAATGCATCAGTAGTTTTAAAAGCTGAAAGTTTATTGAATAACTAAGATATTCACTAGTGAGAATATAAAAACCACCCTCTATTTGTAAAAAATCAGTATTCCAAGTCTGCTGCTGGTTAGGTAGGAATGTTTTGGGAAGGAACAGGTTGGACCACACAGATGGTGCCCTTTTCACGCTTAAAGCAATGCCATAGAGCTGAAGGACTTAGTGAGCCAGGCACTGTTTCCATGTGTTTGTGTTTAATAGCTCTGTTTGGATTTTTCTCTTACCTGTATATTTTTGTCATCCCACTTACGCTTTTGGCTTCTGTGTTGTGGCAGTGAGTCTCACAGTTGTAATTATGGTTTGTGATGTAGTCTGGCTTTTCCATCTATTTATTATAGACCTGCTGCCCAATTTCTTAATTTCATTTCTTAACAAGAATACCCAGTAACACTGAGAAAAACTTTCTAAAGAGAGGGCCAGTCATGACACAAGGCTGCCTCTCTGACGCTTTCTCTAATTATTCATGGGTGGGTGTCTTGCTCTCCCTGTAGGAGATACAATATTTACTGCTTGACCGTCTCCTGCTGTAACAACCTCTGTGGACAGCTAGTGAGTTCCATCCTGGCCATGACTGCTGTGTCCTTATGGTGAATAAAGTTGATTCCTGGGTGTTTCAAATAAGGTGCCAATACTCAGAATGAAACACTCTGCCCCCTGGATGCACAACATTGCACACACTTCCCTGAATGTAGTGTAGTTTTGTGTAGTTTTTTGTAGTTCTGTGTAGTGTGTAGTTTTCAAGGTGCATATCCTGGGCCCTGTCTAGAGCTCAGTGGGTGAATGGGGTTTTCTTGGTTTGCTTCTTTTTAAAGTCAGCCTTCCATCCCCCATCTCACACATATGTCATAACCAGACAAATGCTGTGTTATCCTGCTTTGTAGGTGAAAGTTTGGTGTGTGCTTGCTGGCCCTCACTCTTAGCTGTTTACATGCTATAATGACTGCAGAACAACTTGGTTTCTGGGGCCCAGAATATTAACAGATCTCTCACTAACTCTTAGGTGTAGCAGGAGCAAAATCAGAGACTTTCTGTCAAAATAACAGGAAGTTCTTTTTAATTAAAAATAAGAAATGATTCCTGCTTGCTGGAACTTGTGTTCCAAATGTGATCATGTGAAGTGAGGTTCTGGAGCAAGTATTGAATATTCTAATTTTTACTCCTTTTTTTGTCTTTTTCTAGGAGAAGCTCTGCCTACCACATCACATCCTAGAAGAAAAGGGCTTGGTAAAAGTGAGCATAACAGTTCAAGCATTGCTAGATGTAACCACAGTGAAACAAGCTTTATTCACATGAAACTACCCTCTCTCTGCTGTTACCAGCTACACTGTGCCATGAACGAATCAAAAACTGCCCATTTTTTCAAACTGCATTGAAAACAACTCCAGTACTCCAAGAGTATTCTTATGATTTTAAACCCATGTTTCAGACTGTACGTATGTGTCGAACTACAAAGCAGAAACTGAACAGAAACATTTTCTAGAGGAAGTTGGCGCTTCACTGCTTTTATAGCTCACTTTGTACAGTACTTAAAAAAACAACACCTCTCTGCCACTTAAAATCGTGTGGAGTACACAGCTGTCTTGCAGCAAGATACTTTGTATTACTAAACTAAGAATCACTGTAATCACCTGGGGGGAGGGAGAAGGGAGAGTAAATCAGACTGCTACCACCTTCGGTTTTTCTGCAGTTGCTTCAGGCTATTGCCTTTTAAAAATATCCAGACATTAAATATTTATATAAATATTATTTATTAGTGAGTTGTTATTCATCCTTTGGATGCAAAATGTAAATTAGGAAACTGTATTTTATTACTGCTTTTTTTGTGGTTAAACACTTTATTTTAATATAAATATACTTCGTTATTTTTTATTCTACTTGGTGTGCAGTAGCTCTAGATCTCCGTAAATGGTATTTTCTAATATGTAAGATAAAAAGCAAACAAAATAGGTGCTTCTCTTAAAAGAACAGCTAGCTGGAATGGCAGTCTTTATTTCTTGAATCTGTGGAACATTGGTAAAAAATTGTCTGCATTCCATTGGGTTTCCTACATTCCAGTAACACCTCTCCCCTCACTAGATAGACTACATTGGCTGAAAGTGAGAGCACACCCATTTTATTTGTATATAGATGTTTAAAAACAAAAGGAAATATGTAAACTTGAAAAATAAATGTGAAAAAATATTTTTGATTGCTTATTTTACTATGCACAAGACATTTAACTTTTGCCACAACAAAATTATTTATGTGCATTAGGATCATATGTCTTGAAATGTAATTTTGCACTGTAACTTGATTTCTTTTAAAGATTACAGCACTACAGAACAAATAGTAAAAAATAGCACAAGAATGTTAACAAGATTAACTGGTAGCCAAAAAATTAACTTGTTTTCTTCAGTGATTCCTTCAAGAGGAGACAAAACGACTGAAATTGCCAAAGGCAGTCTCAAAGACCCAGTCTTCCAGATCCAACTTGCCTGGGTACAGTGCTTCTCTTATTTAAAAGTATCCACAGAATTAAGCACAATGTTCTGTAGTGCACATCTGCAGCATCAGACCTCTACTTCCACATCGTCAGCAATAGGAAATAAAAATTCTTCTTCTTACCACTTTACATTTGCAAAAAGGTTTTTAAAAGTATACTTTATTATTAAGACATCATGCATTTTAGATCACAAAGTTCCAGCACAGTGATTCTTCTGCTATCTGGAACATCCCATTTTCATTCACACAAGAAGCCAGTGATGGGACTTGGGCAAGCAGGATGGGGCAGTTGCACGTGGTAAAAAGGGAAGCAGGGAGTTGGAAATGTAGAGTGGCAAAAAAAAGAGGCAAGGGGGTGTGAGGACTAAATCTTTAAGCAAGAGAATGTGGAGAGTTATTGTATGAAGGCTTTTGGGCAGAGTGATGCATACCTGTCACTGCCCCCTCTCGAGGCACTTAGGGTGGCACTTAGGGTGGCACTTAGGGTGGCCTTTGAAGCCACCCATGCTCAGCAGCAGATCTGCTGAGCTCCAGCCGGTGCTGAACGCAGAGCACACACTTCAACACTGGCTATGGGGCTGGGAGGTAGTGACAGCAGCGTGTGAGGAGGAGGAAAGTGGACTCGCAGACAATGAGCCAGGCAGTATGCATGGAATATCCAGTTACTTCAACCAAAGCAAAAACATTTATTTTATAGAGGGAACATAGACTTAAATTGTAATTTGATTGGCAGCTAGCGTATTGTTTCCTATAAAATGTACTGTGCACTTTAACACTAAATGAAAATGTATTTTAATATTTTACAGAGCTGCACAAATATCTGTTTTGTCAAAAAGCACGAGCAATGTAAAGAAAATAAGTTTTCAAGTCAGAGTTTATCAAATTTTAGAAGCATTCAAGGATCAAGTATAAAAATAGGAATATTGATTTCTGCATCTTGAGGGTAAAAATGCAGGTTTCCTGAGTATTTTTTTACAATGTATATATGGCAACATGAAGCTTTGTAATTATTATTATTTTGACAAATCTTGTTTTTTCATAATTAAAATTTTGTTTTTCTCCTGATAGTCTTTCACTATTTGCTTGAAGTTGGCTGTAAATAAATAGCTCTAAGTATTTTGTAATACAGCTTTTTTTATGCAGTCTTAACCTGTATGGCTAAAAAGAGACTCTTCATGATCCTTTGTACAATATTTATATGTGCAATAAAACATGCATGGCAAATCTGTAGTACTCTGCAGTGAACATAATGTATATAGAACATCTTTACTGTAGTTACAATTAAACTATATTATTTGCAGAAACCCTTTAATGCCTATCCCTGTGACTGATCATTTCTTGTAAAATGTAGTTGGAGAGCATAGCACTGGAAATGATGGGTTTGGGGATGGGGAAGATGATGATGTGATGCTAATAAAGGAATTTTGCAGCTAAAGTAGGCATAAGATCCAGCTGGTAGCTGTTGGGTACCTGCAGTGTTCTCCCTGCAGCTTTGCTGCTGCTGTGGTGAAGGCCTCCTGCCAGTCTGTCAGTGGCAGTGAATTATCTGCCCTCTGCTGCCAGGGCTGGGCTGGGCTCAGGGACATTGGAGAGACCCCTCCTTCACTTTGCTCCGCTCACACTGGTGTATGAGAGTTGTTCATTTTACTGCCAACGCTTCTCTCTCCTTTTCTTCTCCTGAAATGCAGAGACTGTTCTGCAGCCTTCTGCTTCAGCAAACAAAACATGAAGATTCCTGGAGAGTACTGAATCCAAGCAGCAAACACAGTAATGCCTTTGGCCCTGGGGATAACCCAGTGGGCCAGGGCTGTGCTCAGCTGTTTTGCTCTGCCCCTGGCTGCAGAAACAAGAAGCAGGTCACAGCATCCAGCCTTCTCTTGCCTGTGCAGGTTTCTGAAGTCATCCAAGTACAGATTCTCCTAGATTCCAATTTCTGGAGTGTCTTTACCTTAGTGAACAGGTATGGGCTGTACTTTTTCACATTTCATAGGGGATTTTGGAAGCAGAGGATCTACCTGCAATAATTTCCTTCTGGAGAGCTCTTGCAATGCACACAGTTGTATCGTCCCAGCCTTCAGAGCTTAATCATAAATTATTAGATGCAAGACTGATACAAGCTGATGCATAATTTAAGGCTGTCACCAGCAGCAGCCTCTCTGTAACCTAGAATCTAGCAGGAGCCAGGGACACACAAGAGCATTGAGCATTGCCTAAAAAAGGAAACCCATCCTACATCTGTGGTGGCATTTCCTCTGGCAAGAGTGAGTCAAGGTTTAAGCAATGTTTCAGGTCCAGCTGAGCCATGAGAAAAGCTGATTTTACAGGTGATTGTTCCAGTAAGCTGCGAGTAATCTGTGTTCTTGTCCAAGGTAGCTGGCAGAATTGTACCACCAAGAGCTATTTTAGATCTATAACTGTCAGGACTAAATTCTGCCCCTTTTGTAAAACAAGCATACTTTATTTCAGCAATGAGATATTAGATCATCTAGCAAGGAATTGCTTTTTTCAGATCTATTTAGCATCTTCTTCTCAGTCCTGTCAAATCAAAGATACACACTACAAGTCTTTCATACTCTAAGAATCAAAGGCAAGTGGAGAAAAAATCCTTTTTAGTACAGACTGCTTCCTTCACAGATTTTTTAAGAGGTCTTTTCTGTAAGTATCATCCATGGAACACTCCAGATCATGTGCCTGATAACGCATAGGACTGTAAACCACTGTGCACAGCAGGCTTTTGTCTGCATTCTCCACCAAACCTTGCCCTTGGAAGATATTTACACAGGCCAAGGAAAAACACACCTACCACTTCAGATTAATTAAGGAGCTTGATTAGCTGTGCCACTAACAACTTCCTTCTCCATTAAAGGTTGAAGTCAACCCCAGCAATTAATTAGCTGAGTGGGCACACCGTTGTTAATCACAGTCTTTGCACAGTTGCACTAGAAGCTGTCTGTGGGTGCCACATCCACACCCACGGTCTGAAAGTCACTCATCTGCTGGCTTACATTTTGACCCAAAATGCAGCAGATGTAACTTCATGGCATCAAGAGTTTTCCAAGCATGCAAGAACATTCCCAATACTTACTCTAAACCACACATATCAAATTAAGTGGGACTTTTATTTTTCTTAGAAGTACAATCAATTAGAAGAGCTCCATTTTACAAACATCACTTCAGCAAATGATTTTTGTTTAGTTCACCACTATCTCTTGATTCATATTGTCCAGGCAGCACTCACATCCAAATGGTTCAAGCATTGAGGTATTTTGCATGGTGTTTGATGTGGTCATTAATAAATGAAGCAATGAAATAATAGCTGTGATCGTAACCCTAGAAAAGAACAGCAATAAAGAAATCAGCAGAGAACATACTCTCATACTCATGCTAAGCTCTCTTAAAGGAAATGTAATGGCCCTCCTGGTTTTATCCATTTTGAGAAATACCTGGAATATATATAAACATGGCAAGGGATATGTAACAGGCTAAGTACAGATGAGCACTAGGAAGCTGAACAAACAGAAAGTCCCTTAATCTGCCCTGATCTGGGCCTGTAAGCTGGAGATGGGTAACAGCAAGGCTCAGCTGCAGAGTGAGATGCAGTCTGAGAGAACAGTTGCCCTCATGGGCATTGTTCTGGTAAAACACAGGGGGAATAAGGAGAACACAGCCCAGGTCTGAGCTACTGCTCCATCACTGTGCTGAAATGTTACCCTCTGGCCCACAGCCCTTCATCAGCACTAAATCTATCTTCAAGTGCAAGGTTTATGATAAAAGAGGACAATCCTTCACTCTCCACAGCTGAGCTCCTCACTGGGTCTGGGTGGAAGTTGCCAGTGGTTTACAAAGACTCCGGTGCTCTCAGGACAGTCTTGTTCTGGGTCACTGCACTACAGGTAAGAGCGATCCTTCCACCTGGGTCTTAACACGAATCTAGGATGTCAAGCAGTTCCACCCCTTCCCTAATTTACACAAACACATGCAAACTAAATCACGCAGTGTTACGGTAAACACGAAACCCACAGCACAGATAAGGGATGCAGCAGAAGGCCGTGTGTTACTCTGGCTCTACAGCGACTGTGATACTCATTAGAAATGATTACTGCTGTGTCTTCAGCCGAGCACAGGCAACCCGAGTCTCCATGCAGGATCAGCCTGTCCAGGCTGGAAACACGACGGCACCTAGTGGTGAAGCGCAGCTGAACAGGGCATTGACGGCCCATGGGACGGGAAAGTGTCACTTCTCACTCTCCTCCTCAAGCGGCCAGGGACAGGCCCACAGTGAGAGCACACCTGCACCCTTACAAACACCCTTCACTGTCTGCTGTACAAAACCACAAACCACAAACAAGAGTCCGACAACCAAGGACTGCAGAAGCAACTTGCCTGCTGCAGCCTGAAGACTACCGGGATTTTCCGCTCGGTGCAGGCAGCGATGAAGTTATCAGGCAGCAACTGGCCTGCAGACAGGAACTGGTCATCTTTGCCTTGGTCAATCAAGATGTCGAGGCGAGCGCCTGAGTAGGACTTCACAAGCTGTGTAGCATCATAGGCCTGCAGAATAAGAGAATTGACATTCAGTTACATATGTTCAACTGTTTCAGTTTGTTGACCGCAGGAAAAGAATGGCACAGACAGAGTCCTGGGCAGTGTTGCGCAGGAAACCAATCTGCACTTTGGAAGAATAAAATCCAGGAAAAGTAATACCCATTGCTTCAAAAAGGGCAAATGTGTGAGCTAGATAATTACCAAGTTGGCAGTTTAACCAAACAGCACATCCAGCCCAGGGCTGACTTCCTACAGAATGGAAGAACAGCAATATAGTCAGTACTACTTCACACCCTTTTGCAAATACTAGATCCTGCTGAAGAAACTTGGTATCTTGGTGTATTTATTCTGGCAGCTAAAAGTCAAAACACCAGTGTGGCACCACTAAACTCACGGGCAGGCATTTAACCTGAAGGTTACCATGATCATTTGACCTAGAAAATTTGGTTCGACTGAGAAACAAAAACTCTAAACATACATGTATCAAAATGTAATTATGATAGGGAACAAGTTACCCATGGGGTCCTGTGCTTATTACATGCTCAAAATAAATAACTCCTTTAAAAAGACATCAAAGTGTTTAAATGCTGTGGAGAAGACCAATCACCAATGGACAGCAAAATCCTAAGTCCTACACCAAGGCATGAGAGCCATCCTTCCAGGATGCCACCAGATCCAGAAATGACACTATGATGGAAATGGGAGCTTGGGCTCAGCCCAGCACTGTGGCCATGGTATCAAGTTATCCAGAACATATTTACATGGCAATTTTAAGCCAAAACAGATCAGAGGTTGTACATCTGTTTCAAAGGCAGATCTAAGTTTGCTCCTGATGGTTGCTGTCGATCTATTGAACTAGGTCTGCAGAAGTGCTCCAAAACAAACTAAGGGGACAGAAAACAGGTTTTTGGGCAGTTGTTTTATGTCACAACAAATCCATTACACTAACTCTAAGCAAGTTTAACTTGTGGTTTCTAAATACACAAACTACTCTATTAACAATGAGAAAAGCACAGAACACTCTCCAATCCTGTAAAGTTTTAATCAGACCTGGAAGTCTTCCTAAGACATACTTTAATCCAATTTACAGGGGACTGAACTGCAGCCTGTGCTTATTACAAGGAAATCTGAGTACATGGTCACGACGATCCCTTCTAACTTAATTATAAAAATACAGCACAATGTTTAAGTTGAGATTAAAAATACTGAAGGGCTGCCCAAATAATGCAGCAACCACGTAGACAAACATTTTTGCATCTTAGCCATTCACATATAACAACTGATAGCTCAAAATTAAGGTCCTGGAGCTAAAAGCAAACTTTGTCTAGTTTAATGCTGTTCTGCAGGATACCAATTTCCAAGTATCTGACAGGCTTCTCTTGGAGGCCTCCCACAGGCTGCCCCTGCAAGATGTCATGAGGCTCATCAGTCTGAACAGTTTGCAGCAGTCTCTCTCTTCAGGCTACTACAAAAATACCCTGCTCATAATTGTTCTCAGCCCAGACTTTAAATCTTCATAAAACTGAGAGGAATGTAGTTGATTTGATGAGAGGCCTGTATGTCATTACATTTCCATAGGCACCATAAGGCAACAGCAAGTCTCTCCTGCCAGAAACAAACAAACAAACAATGCTTTCCTGTGCTTAGGAGTGTAGTAAAACAACAGTACCAGCTCATGGGCAATCCAGAGTTGTTTTCCAGGCTCCTGCTGTGATGTATTTACAGATCACTCATTCATCTGTCATTAAAGAACTGCAGC